TTAACTATTAGAGGTGACTGGATATTCTCTCTTCTAATGGGCTGGTTGTGAATTAGATTTCTTCTCTACTAGTTTCTCATTTGATTGAATTTACGGATTTTGTCGGCAGTTTACAAATTAGGAATTTCGAATTTGAAATCAATGTTTTTAACTTGCACCTAAGCAATTGTAATTGAATCTTCTGAATTACAGAGTGAAATCTTCCATTGAAATTGATTGGGTTCAACTTTGATGCGATTTTATTTGGAAGCAATGTACTTCTGATTTTAATTTATTATCGTCTGCGCAGTTTCTGTTGTAAAGACGTTCGGTTATAAAGACGATATCGATGACGAGAGTGAGGGTACAGAGGGAGTGGTCGAAAAGGGGTCGATTGAGGACATATTCCATGTTGAGGAATGAATATTCCCGAATATACGAGCCGGGTGTTTGGAGTAATCCCCGTTCGGAGACGAGAATGGAACTTCCCTTGGAGTTTTATTTCACTTTCAATTAATAGAGAGGGGTAGTGTTGACAGTCGAAAAAGCCGTAGTTCGGGTGAGTCGACTCTTTACCTGGAGCGTCTTTCTCTTTTCTCCTCTCTCCCTCTTTTCTCCACAACCCACTCCCACATCCACACCCACACTCTCGCAGCCCCATCAGACGACCACATCCACACCCTCGCGGATTTTTATAGTGGTTTTCAAATTTTTTACAAAAACCACTATAAAAATCTGTATAAATAATTCTAGGGATTTTCAATAATTTTTGTACAAATTTTTATATAACTGTATATACATAGTGGTTTTTATGTTGACATGGTTGTTATACAGAGTGGTTTTCAATTTTACATGGTTTTCATGTTATACATAATTGTTATACATAGTGGTTTTTATGTTATATAATTTTATACATAGTGGTTTGTTCTTTTTATTTTCTCGTATATATAGTGGTTTTCCTGGTTATATAGTTGTTTATGCAGATTGGTTTTGATGTTATTATAGAGTGGTTTTTATTTAAAAAAACTGGAAATAAAAAATAAATAAATAAACCATTTAAAAAAAATCGAAATTAAGAAAAAAGAAAAACCATGAAAAAACAAAAATAAAAATAAAACCTTTTTTTAAAAATTAAAATAAAAAACATGAAAAATATAGATAAGAAAAAAAAAATTAAAATAAACAACCGAAAAAAAATAATAATAATATAATTACGAAATTTTATTTTAAATAGAAATAAAGAAAACCATTAAACAAAATAAAAAAGAAAAGGAAAAAAAATTGAATTAACGTAATGAGAGGAATAATTTTAGGAGAAGATTTAGGTGTAGATTATGAGTGTAATTTTTTTTAATTAAATAGTTATACTAATTAATAATTAGTGGGGGCATATATGGTTTTTAAGGCCCATTGGATTTATCTCAAATATCATTTATAAATAATGGATTTATCAAGAATTAAAATTCCAATGAAGGGTGTTTGGCATATTGCCCCAAAATTTAAAGTGCATAAAAAGATTTTTCCAAAATGGCAAATAAAACGAAAAGAATGGAGTAATGACAAATCTGGCGAAAGTCAGTTGGCTATATTTTCAATGGGAAAGTGCGAAAGGGTGCAATATACAAATAACCGATAATCAAAGGTGCAAATTGCCATTTTCGAAATTTGAAGTACACAGAAACGCCAATCGGACCTAATAAACGGGCAAAATTCCCAAAACCCATCGTCGTCGTGAATCCTCTGAATTAGAACCCTACTTTCCCCAATTGCTGCTGCGATTTGAGCAGCAAACTCACCGGAAACTCATGTCACGCTACAATAGAAAAGCAT